CTTACTCCAAGATCCCATTTACTCTTGGCAGAGATTTATGTGGTCCATCTCTCTTCTAGTACATGAATTCAAACATATATAACTTAATCAATTTGAATAATTGCTCAGAGGTCATGAAAGTTCTTGGCGGGCTTTCTACTGATATAGGAGGGTATGATTTTAAACATATTAAAATTGTCAAATGTTTGTTTTTCTCTCTGTCTCTCTGTCTCCCTTTGTCTCCCTGTCTCTCTCTCTCTCTGTCGTCTCTCTCTCTCTCTCCCTTTATCTATTCACTTTATTTTCTTCCCCTTCAATTTGAAAATAGGCCCCAAAGAGCTGATATCAAGATCCGCTCCTTCTTTCTGGCAACCAGGCAGCTTCCATAGGCTCATCTTATTGAAAAATGCAGCCCTATTCTGAGTGTGAATAGTCTTGCCAAGCTGCTCTGATGAGTGGTAAGTTTTTGCCATGCTTCAGCTGGCTTTTGGCATCACCTCTGGAGATGGTGAAGCGGCCCTTGACTTTGTCTGAGTAGTAAATGCTAGATGATCCTGGATATATCTGTGAAACCCATTCCAGCCCTTTCCCTGGGGCCTGTCTCACCCAGCTCATATAATAGCTGCTGAAGGTGAATCCAGAGGCTTGGCAGGAGAGACAGAGGGACTCCCCAGGTCTTCTCACATCCCCTCCAGACTCCACCAACTGGGCCTCAGATTGGACACCTAAAATGAAAGAAGTTTCAGTCAGCTCTCCTGTATACAACCATTAAAAGGAAAATAATCCAAATGGTTAAGAAATAATTACCTCTGAGGACTGCTAGAAAGGGCACAAAATTTAGCCACAGGAACATTGTTGCTTCCTCTATAGAATGGAGCGTAATTGATAGGAAAGGATTCTTCAAAATGCAAAAACTTTGTGTTGGTGGGTGTTGCCTGAAAAGGGAAACCCTGAGCTTTAAAGAGGAGATTGTGCCTCAATTTACATATCGCTTGGGATAAAAAGACAACTCAGGACACTCGATTATAGATAATTGTCTTTGCTCACGTGAGTTTCAAATAATGTTAAATAATAAACTATGTCCTCTGATTTCAAGTTGTTCCTTTGCTACTAGAATTGGGTTGTTGTTGTTGTTTTTTTTTTAGATGATGAAATATCCCTTCCTTTTATCTGTGTATTAAATAATATAAGAACCTTGATTTTACTTTATATTAAGTAATAGACAAACTTTTGGCTTAAGGCTAAGGAAAGTGGTATTAAGTAGCACAGAGAAAGCATGGACTAATAATAATTTTTGAAACAGACATGTTCGAGATAGAACTAAATATCCCCTCCAGACCCAAATTGAGTTTGGGTCTCCTCTCTCTCTCTCTCTTTCTCTCTCTCTCTTCCCTGTAATGAATGAAGGGAATTGATTGGAGATGATTCAGGAAAACAGACAAGCAAGGTATTTGTGGGTATTGCCTGAAAAGGGAAAAGGGAAATGAAATCATCCATCCAGCTTTCAAGATCCCACACCAATCAGTACAGAAGGGCAGGGGCAAATTTTACCTTCAGCACCAAGATAATCCAAAATGAAATTTTGCCGCAATCCTTTACCCAATCATGCTCAAAAATTCAAATGTGGATTTCAAAAAGAAATTTAGAATTTTCTTCTGAATGAAGAACAGTTTTTTCCTTAGCCTGACTCTGTGGTTTCTTTCCCAAACCCCAAAAACGTTAACCTTAGACTGTCTACTATTGACCTCACCCCTTTCCTAAGAGGTCTGTAGGGGGCATGCATAAGCGCACCAATGTGCCTACCATCCCTGTCCTATTTATTCTTTTTATTTTTCTTATATGTATCCATGTATTCATAACTATGTTTTTACTTATGCCTATTATCTTGTAATCAATTGACAAACCAAATAAAATAAAAATAGATAAATAGACCTTTTTTTCATTGTGTGTCTTATAAAACCTAATGGTTGGATTTTCACAAGACATGCAGTGAAAACTAAGATATTTTAAATTCTGACTACATCAGAGAGAAGATAGGGTTGAGTAAATAAGAATCTTGCCTTTCCACGTGAAATTGATCAGTCTGATTTTATCTGTTTCACATCATGAAAGTGGCTGGCCTCTACAGGATGAAACCATCGGATTTATTACACCTATTTTTTTCTCATTTTCAGTTTGACTGTTAAGGAAAGAGGCTGAATGAATGAATGAATGAATGAATGAATGAACTTATCCTAGACTCTAAAATGAGAGGACATCTGGTCAAGGTAGTCCCTGTTTAACCACTGGTGGCAACAGGAACTACTGGGCAGCTGCACCAAAGCAGGAAGACAACATTGCCCCCTCCCCCAGTGTCCAAAGTGAGGAGGAGAGGCATCATCCTAATTCTCCAAAGAGATTCTGTCAGACTGCTTGGGCTGATGTAATGTCCCCAGGTGATTTCACAATGCTGTGAGCCCTGCTGCTAGAAGGGTATAGGGCGGGGGAGGCTTTGTCATAATAAGACGTTGTTTTTAAAAGGATGGGCTTTGCCTTCTAATGATGCCCTGGAAGGCGGCGACAGGAGCGTCTAAAGCCGAGTTTTCCGGTGGGGCACTGGTTGCAGGGATGAGTCCTGTCCGGCCCTGCGTGGCTGCACCAAACTCTGCGGCGATGCTCCAAACGCCGCGGCTGCACGGGCAGAAGGGAAAGCAATGGCAGCGGAAGTTTTCCCTATACAAAGTGCCCCACCAACACCAAGGCCAACATCCAAGCCGATGACGCCTGCCTGCCCAAGGATGCAAGGGGGGGAATTAAGTCACTCCTGAAAAGACAGCCTAGCCATTTGGGGGGGGGGGCTCTAAAAAAATAACTTCCGCCCCCATTGCTTTCCAAAAATGGTAGATAGATAGATAGATCGACAGATAGATAGATAGATAGATAGAT